TGAATACCTTCTGTGTTTTTAAGAGCAACAGCTGAGGTTGCTAGAGGAGGAACTGCAGCAGCAGCTGGTGCAGCAGATCCAGAGTCTCTCTGAAAACGTCTCATCAGACCTTCAGAGATATGCTGCTCGACTCAGGACAGAACCAGGAGACCTGCAGGAGCTCTCCACATACGCTCTCATGGTAAGAAACACCCTTTACTCTTACATAGTTCAAATAGATTTCCAGTTATGCAAAAGAGATGAAATATTCCAGACTCTTTAGTTTGCCTAGTTCCACCTCTGCAGGGTTGGTAGAGCTTCAGATCCTCTGAGTCTCTTCTTTTAGTCACACTTTCATTTAATTATTCATCCCACAAGGCTCTGTGTTTTCAAAGTGTTCTGAATTTAGATCCATCGTCACAGAATGAAAGGTAAGGTAAAGTGCATTCAGGTCTTTAAAGTGGTATTTAAAGAAACACTAGTGCTCTCTTGTGTAACTGCAGGAGTTGAACTTTTGAGATGATGGGTTGTCAAAGTGTTTTAAAATAAAGTCAGAGTGAGAGTTTGTAGTTTGGTTATATTTCACCTTATCCTGAACCTCTCCTGTAGAGACTCGCATTCACCTCCACATGTCAACACTTAAGGAATACTAAATACTCTTTAGCATATTATTTTACCCACCTGACATTAGAGATGAGATGATTTCTGATTCCAGAACCAACACTTTGTTTTTGAGAAAAAGACTTTTCAGGGAGAAGGAAACTGATGTATTTGACCCAACATTATGTAATGGTCTAAGAGATCTGAAAGTCACCAAGAACTGTAACTGTACAGCCTCTTCACCTTCAAATAGGGTGTTAGGAAATATATACTATATTATATTGTTATGTTTTGTGATACTGTAGCAACTTTTAATTAATATTTTACATGCAAATAATGACTCAGTCAATCCTTATTTATTGTGCGTTTGTGACATCTCAAAATATTGCAATGTTGTTGGTTGTAACTCTGATAAATGCAATCGCAGATCCCATTGTTGCTATTGCAAACATATGAAACATTTTCACTCAGATTTCATGCATATGGCGATTTCTCTGATCTGAAGGGTCGCCGGTTCAAGACCCAACCAACTACAACCTTGCAACCTCTTCACTCTGGTGCCTCTATAAAAGTGCATGTGTATGTGTGTGTGTACAACTACAGAGTGGGAAGCTTGGGGATCAATAAAGGGTCATCTTACAAAAAACATCTTCTAAATCACAGCCTTGCTTACAGTTATGCAATATATTTATTTATGTATAACCCCTGTATCATGATACTTATCATATCCTCAGATTTGTTTCCAATACACAGATTCACTGATTTAACATGCTATAGTTTGTGAGGCAGGACAATCAATTAACATGACAACACAAATGTTTTAATCTGGCTCATCATTTCAGGTGAGGGAGTGTGTGAAGATGTGTCCTGACATGCAGAGACGTTTGGAGTACATCCACTCCCTCCAGGAAACTCTCTGCAAGAACTACAGGAAGAGGACTGAACAAGAGGACACTGTGAAACAAAAGGTCTGCGCTGTTAGATTAGTAGTTTCATGCATTCATTCGAGAACATCTATTTTAACTCTACTGTGTGTGTGTGTGTGTGTGTGTGTGTGTGTGTGTGTGTGTGTGTGTGTGTGTGTGTGTGTGTGTGTGTGTGTGTGTGTGTGTGTGTGTGTNCTCACTCCTCAATGGAACGTGTATGTGGATTCTATTGGCTCTAACGGTTCAGAAGAGGTGTCAATGCTGTTTCTCTGGAACCCAATGGTCGATTATGATGATTGACACCTCTTCTGAACCGTTAGAGCCAATAGAATCCACATACACGTTCCATTGAGGAGTGAGAGTGATGCGCACGCAGTCGAAAGCTATGTTACTCTCTGAAAACTGAAAACTGAAAACCAAGTGTATTGCTGATGGATTATCAGAAATCATTTCAGACACTATGGATTAACCTTCAGCCGCGTTTTTATCGTTTGAATGCCATTGAACACAACTTTTGATCAGAACAACAGCAAAGGTAAGACAGAGGGTCTAAGGACAGAGGGTGTCGTATTGTCATACTGATATTCTGTACAAACTGTGAAGTCCACTGAGACAAATGTAAAATTTGTGATATTGGGCTATATAAATAAACATTGATTGATTGATTGATTGATATTGCCGTTTTTGCTACCTAAAGCTACGTTGTGTGATGTCTGGGTTTGATTCCCCTGTGGCGAGTTTTGTTTGCTCAGTGATGATACTTATACATCTTGAATCTGTGGAATCTCAGCTTGCTAGCTGATATATTTTTTGTGCAGATCCGATAAGTAATAACGTATTTATACCGTGAGTTCTGTGCTAACTGCGTTAGCATTTTTTTGCTCAGGGCTCATTTAGACGCTTCTTGTGAAACTTGTATTTTGTTTCGGTAAAAATGGTTCGTATCGTCAGTTAGCTGAGTTTCTTCCCATTAGGTGGGTATGATATATTCATAGTTTGTTCAATGTTAAGATGCCCTGAGACGCTGTTTCTTGCAAGACGTCCCGCGGGGGCATGGGGCTAAACAGGTTAATTAGTTATGTTTGGAACCTGTTTAAATGTTTGTCCGCAGGTTGACTTTTCCAACTAACTGGTCATAAAAGAACAGTTTGTGTTTCAATATTTAATTACAGGTGCATTGGTTCAGTGACAGGTGTTGTAATAAATAAATAAAAAAGGTATTTACAGTCAATCCACGGTCTCCATTGTTTGCAGGAACCTCACTGCTGTCTGTCATTGTGAAGGGCAGCAACAGGAACACGTGCACATGTCTGTGGATTTGGCTCAAGTACCTGTAAAAAAAAAAGTATTAACTTGATTAACAATCAACCACAGTTTCAAATTTCAGCCCAGATTTGTTGTCTTTAAATAAGATCTAAACGTGGCAACAACAACATCCCAATATTTAAGGCAGTTTCCTCTTACTTCTCAGACATCCAGTAGTCCATACGATATCGTCTTGACTTCCTCACATCAGTCGCTCTGGAAACAACGTTCCTCAGATCCTCGGTGTAAAGTCCTGCTTGTGTTTGGTGAGCCATCGCCGCCAGCAGCTCCCCTCTGATTGGCTGACTGACTCCTTCGTGAACCAGTATGATGACCCTAACTCCATCCACTCTTGTTTTGTTCCCAGCTTCTTTGAGGATTTCGTGCAACTCGTCCTCGTTACCGGGATGCACCTCCATCAGCAGGTGTCCGGTTATAAAGGCAGCTAAACGCACTGTGGTTTTACGACCTGTGCCTTTGTTGGAGGCCATCAGCAGTCCGTGACCTCCGGGTATAAGCAGCGCCCGGAGGATGTGTAACAGCTGACCCACCCTCTGTCTGTGCACCACGCATCTATTTAAACTATTATAATCAGCTTCCTGTCCTTTGTCTTCCTGGTTTCTGCTGATGAGGACACGCAGTTGCTGCAGTAATACCTCAAGGTCTCTGTCCTGGTAAGTAATGCTACCCTTAAAAATGTGTTTCTGATTCATTGGAGCCTCGGAAAGATCAGGACCAAACACAAGATTAGCCAGTTTGTCCTCCATGTGCTGAAGAATCTGGGTTTGCATAGCGTGAGTTTTTAGGCTTTCTTCTACTGACGAAATGTTTCCAGACAAAGAGGAAGGTTCAGTCGATGTCCGGTCTTTCTTCAGGTCGGATTGTCCAGCTGGTTGTGTCTCTTGAGGCAAATGACGGTTACCTAAACTCTTAGCTATTGGCTGACCTTCTGTGTCCGAGGGGGGGGTGTGAATATCAAGTCTTGTGAAATCTAAACTGACAGGAGAAGTTGCATCAGCCAATCTCCTTCCATAGTGAGTTGTTGCTGTCATGGCTATGAGGGACTCAAGCATTTTGCTTTCATCCTCGGAGCATAACCTGTCGCTGAATGTACGCAAACACTCATGCATCCAGAGATGTGCGATGTTAAGGACTGGTTCAGACTCTGGAAGGATTAGTATTGTTTCCTCCTTTTGTTGCATTGTCCCTCTGTCAGGCTGCCAAAGACACAAACCCTTAAACACCTTCTGAAGGTCATGATGGGAAAATATGAAAAGGGGCCTCTGCACAGTCGGCTTGAATTGGTCGCACACAGCATCGTACACATTCTTAGTTGCAGTGATAATGCAACATGCCATATCCTCAGCACTCTGCGTTAGCTGTGTTTCTTTGAGCCACATCTTTAGCCGAGGAGAATGGATAGACAATATGACGTCCATAGAAAGGCTGGGGAGCACAAAGTTGGAGAACAGGCGTGAGAGCCTGGAGGAAATCACTGTACTGTGTGATCCAGAGACACAACAGGTGGCCATGTAGCTGAGGGAAGCAGCACTCAATAACTTGAAGTTGTAGCCGTCAAATGTTAGAATCCGTCCCATCGAGATACTCTGTCGGAGCGTGTCTAGAGCTGTAGACATCTTTCCAAAGACATCTATAACAGGCACAATATCAATATTAACCTCAAGAAGCTTCAAACTAAATGTCCTGAAGTTAAAAGTCCCCTATTATAATGTTTTTCATCAATATATCACAGGTCTCAGATATATACAGAGCCTGTCTCTGATTGGCTGAAACACCAAACAGATCATTGCAGCATTACCCATAATCCCTCTGTTTCAGCCCTGTTTTCTAAAGTGCTGATTCTCTGTCTGTTACTTTAGATGAAAATAAGAGCCCCTCCCCACGCCCCTCTGAGAGACATTTTGGTTACAAAGAACTCAATAGTGCTCTAGGAGCTACCGTTTGGTTGCTGATTGGCTAATGGTTACACCAAGCCAAAACATCGTTATGACATCATAAAGGGCCAAAATCTGATCAGCCTCATTTTCAGACGGGTCTTCATAGAGATGTAATCAGCGACAGAAAGAGAGGGGGTCTCTTTATTCCTGAGAACTTTCATAATCTCAAATATTTATGTGAAAGTAGATTTAGCATAATAGGGTGACTTTAATGTTCTTACTCACCTCTGGGGGCTTCGTGCAAATCATCCCACAAAGAGCAAGCAGTCCTGTCTCTGTTTTGCCATTGGGACCCTGAGTGTCTCTGCAGTTCTTCGTGCAGTGATGGTCTTTCAGTACGGTGTGCAGGTCTCTGGATCTCAGTAGAGGACTGGCTGTAGAGTAATGTGTGGCTTCTCAAAACTCAGCAACGTTCTGCACAGAGTCGCGTTTTTCCACAACCGGGTTCTCCTGCGAGCAACACCGGCTGGTTCGCCTCCAACATGATGCTTCAAGAAAGAGAGGGCATACTTCCTATACTAAATAACAGACATGTGTTAGTTATAATGTTTTAACAGATGTATTTATAATATGATGTTTACTTTCAATGCACAAGAGTATTCTGGACAAACCATCGGGAGGGATAGAATTTGTCGGCAGTGTGTTCTTCGGGGCCATGTCTTGATGTCGATGTTTAAAAAGCAGTAGCATGCAAACACACTCTCTCCCATCAGGAACCACAATTCTGTATCGGCAGCGTAAACAGCACTTGATGGCGCCACTGAGTCGAACCGTGGCCAGTGGCTGAAGGAAATCATAAAAGTAGGTGAAGAAAATTGGCGACGAGAATGTTATTTGCCGCTCGTACAGAAAATATGTGATTTATTTTGCCAATGACATACAAAATTTAGAGATTCCCGATCACGTGAGTCGGGGGATCACGTCAGTGTTTCAAAAGATTCGGAATCGGGAGAAAAGATCGGATCGGGATTTTTTTTTTTTTTTTTTTTTAAATACTTTTTTTTAAATTTTGTATTCAATGTTACAAAACAAAAATGACCATGTTCAAGTCTTAAAGTCATCCTGGAGGCCTTAGTTTTGGTTTCCAAATTACACACAACATTTCATGTATGTGTTGCTTCTTTGGGCGCTTGTTTTCATAGTACCTGGTTATTTCTCTCAAATCTGGCAACAGAGTGGGCCGCAGTGTTCTAATTGTAGCAGTAAGCCTAACGGGAGTACTGAAGCGTTATTTTGTTTTGATCCAATGCTGCACAACTGAACTGATCAATGCTGCTGCTGAAAGAAAAGAAAGCTAGTATCCATGTTGGATAGAATATCCACATTTTAGATAAAAAAAATAACCTTAATGCGACAACCTGAAGTGCTTTTTTTTCTTTTTTGTCTTAATGCATTGCCTGCAAAGATCGGGACTCGGATCGGGAAAAATCGGTATCAGCAAATTGTCAAAATCAAATGATCGGAATCGGATCGGGAGCAAAAAAAGTTGATCGGGACATCCCTAACAAAATTGATTATTTATGGCATCATTTTGATAAGAAAACCAAAATGGTCTTACCGAGGATGCAGATGTCCACTAAATCCCCAAATATAAGCCACCAGGAAAAGGTTTCTGTTCAGCAGGCCTTTGCTGTCTGTTCCCGCTCTGTGGAGAGGTGTATCTGGTGGAAAAAAATAGGCGATGAAGTAATAATAAAAGTTAAGTCACTACCTTAGCTTGAATAAGACTTTCTGTTCAACCGTCCTGGTTATACCTTTTTTGTCCACTTGTGGTGTTGCCCCAGCTTTGTCCCCTTCCTTCCCGACATGCTGAAGGAGGGCTCGTAGGATCCGAACAAACGACATGATTTCTCTCATCCCATGCACAACGCTTTCAAGAGATTCTCCTTCATTTAGGATTGCAGATGTTAAAGCGGTAAGTGTGTTGGAGAACAGATCTTCAGCCAGACGATTCCACATGTTCAAGGTTCCTTGATCTAGTTTGTGTTCAGAAGACAGAGCATCCATTTCACTCCTCCACACAGCCTTCCACAGATCAGAACCTGAGAAATAAACCAGGCTGCAGCGGGTCACTGCAGAGGGACTGGCATCACGTAGATCAGTGACCTCCATCACTAGTCTAAGGTGTGGTTGGGATGGCAGTATTTCCCCTGAAGACAGGCACAGAAACTGGTCCTGAGGACTGCACATTGTAGTTAAGTAGTCCAACCAGCCTACAGGATTCCCATCCATCACCAGCCATTTATGTATCTGATCACTTTTCTGCTTCTTGTTGCAGATTTTTGGTTCTGAATCTCTCAGCACCTTTACTACAGCTCCATCTTGCCATCCTCTCTTTTCACAGAAGCTGCCAAATAGCTCCTTGTGGGACATGGCATTAGGAAATAAAACCACGGTGTCCACAGAGTTCCAGGTTGAGATCTGTGGGGTATCTCCTTCCATCCTATTGTCATTTTCTGTCAACGCAGCCAGGTGATTGAGTGCTTCAGCAAGAGCACAGCGACAGGTTGTCTTTCCACTACCTGAAGGGCCTATGAGAATAACTGCGGGAGAGAGTTTCATGGCATGGTAGAGTCTCAGAGAACTGCTTATTATTTCAGTGTCAGCGTGAAAACATTTCCTTTGTAGTTCTTCTGTTAGTGCATCTTTAAGTTGAGTCTTTTCATCTTCCTCGATGTACTCTTGGAAGAGAGGAAACTGGCATGCAATAGGGAATGTTTCCTTGAGAAGGATGGAGAACTGCAAGGCTTTCTTTTGTTCATAAAGAACAGGTAATGAGACAGAAAGAATGGCTTTGACAATGGCTGTCTCCTCCATTAATCCCTGTATAATGGCCAAATGAGAGCTGAGAAACCTGGAGGGTTTTTCAGATTCTTTTCTTTCCTTACCATCAACTCTGACAGTCACAGCTTCTGAAGGTGTCGGATCGGCCTCATCAGAAATGTCTTTTTGCCTTTCACTTTGTTGGAAGTGCATTTCAGATGCAGAGATGATCTTTTGCAAGAGGACAAGATAACAGCTCTGGTGGTCATTGATGGAATCAGGCAGACAGAGGGAATCCTGGGCCAGGCTGATGAGGTCCACCAGACGTTGACTTAAAGACACGGCGTCTGAGTAACCAATGGAAGTCAGCATTACTTCTGCGATGATCCTGTAATCTGGAAGGGTTAAAGCGATGGGTCTGGTAGCACATCGCAGGATCTCTGGAACCTCAGATGAATACCCTTTGGATGAGATGACAACACATCCATAGCTTGGTCTGGCAGAAATGCTTTTCCCTGCAATCACCATGTGACAATCTGAATGGAGGTTTGTGCAATCTGTATCAGCATTCCAGTCCTTTGGCTCCTCTTTCAGTCTTTGGTTCTTCTTCTTTGTGAACTCTGCGAAGGATTGTTGGATGTCAAATAGATGCTGGCCCAGCATTGAAAGTAATCCTTGTGTTAGTAGGTCTACAGAGTCCAGCAGAAGCCACGCTCCAGTCTGAAGAGCACCCAACAGCATCCTCTGAACAACACCGGGGCTCATAGTTGGACAACATTGCAAGTTGACAACCATTCGCCCCAACGCTTTTCCCAACTGAACCACTGTTGTTTTCTTTCCAGACATGCAAGGTCCCCTCACAAACCCACACCTGTAGCTTGTGAGAGCCAGGAGAATCCCCAGTATCGCCCGATCTGTGGATGGAGTGTGTCCCATCACACAATCTTCTGGACCAAAATACTCATAATCATATTGGAGTCGATGGCCCAAAACATCCACGTGACATGTTGGATCATCCGTCAGACTACAATCTTCTGAGTTTATATGATACTTCATGAAACTTAGCCACTCGAAAGACGACTCTGGAAGACTATGCACCTCCATGAGCCGAGAAAGCTGCTGGGAATGCTTCATTGTAAGTTGCACCAAAGCTCGCAGACACATCATCCTGTACTTAGAGACCAAAGACTCGCAGTCAGACCCTGTGACTCCATCCCTTATGAAACGGCCAAGGGTTTTCCATTTTGCAGAGTTGTATGCCTTTATGTTTCTTAACATCACTGGACTTGACTCTTGGAAAGCTTGTAGGACAGACTGGCACCAAACTGCCTCCTCCACCACCAGCAGACACTGAAGAGGGTATTCAGACACGAGATCCAGCACAGGGAGGGCGACTTTCCTTCTTTCAGCAATTTGAAATACAATGTCTTTTACTTGGTTATCAAATGCCACATCTTCAGTGGGTGGTTCAAGCTGGATTCTCACAATAGCACATTTCTTCATGAGTTGCACCATGGTCAACGTTAACTCTTTCTCAAAGATAGAAAGCCAACCTAAGGCATTGGGATTTGGTTCCAAAGGAGACGGAAAGGTAATGTGCTCCTGGAGGCTGCCGAAAAACCCCAGAACCTTCATCTGGCTCTCAGATGTAGCCCCACAGATCTTTACACCTGTCTGATTAGATGGTACTACACAATCCACTTCTAGCCAACGTATCCCTTTAAAGCATTTGCGTACAAAAGGCTGCAGTGTGGAAGGCGTTGGTTCAAAGGAGAGTAGCTGTATCCTCTCCCAATCACTTAAGAACCACAGTCTTGGAAACTGTTGACAGAGGCTCTCCAGGAGGTCAGACATCTGGCTGGAAATGGCCTCCATTGTAGAGACACCGTCAATGAGAATCTGGTGGAAGTTTCTGCCATGAAATCTCTCATTTGTTTTCTTTGGATTAACAAAGTTCCACACATGAGTGTCACTTGAGACGGACTGAATAATGTCCTTAAAGGTCTCATCAATTGGTTGGAATTGCTCCAGCTGTGAAGAAAATAGGAAAAGCTCTGCAATCAGATTCATAACACTGCAACATTGTGATATATTATATATAAATATAAGGATGACATACCAGCTCCACACTCTGTACACTTATGGATGTTTCATGGAACATCTTGGTCAAGAAAGCCCATAACTGCTGGTATCTTTCAAATAAACAAAGCAGCTTCCCTATTAATAATGAACAGAAAACAAAAGGACATTACAATGTTCAAACTGTTCCTCAAATTGAATGCAAATGTTCTCTTTGGTTGAGTATCCACCATACCGAGATCGTGCAGTGATTGGAACAAATGTTCATTCTGCAGCCTGAACTCAACACTGTGTGGGGACTTCAACATGGTGGACAGAGTCATCAAATCGTTCTCTATCTCAGCAAAGTGTATCTCCAGACCTGAGTAAGAAGACACATGGTTAACCCCAGCAAACTGTAAGCTGAGTATTGATTTTACACATTTTCTAGCTTGTTATTAGGTCTCACCAATGACGAGGAGTCTTGGATCATTACAGGTGTGTTGATTGGCAGTTTGGAGTTTTGAAACTGTGCCCTCTGTGGGTTTCTTTGTTTCTGGTAATACATGTTGTGGTTTTTGATGCTGCCAATCAGGCAGTGTGAATTTATCCAGCTGGAATAGTCTGGGTTTCCATTCCTGTTGAAGCTGTATGAATTTCTGCTCCATGTTATACTCTGCTTGTGCATCCCTGCATATCTGAAAGAGTAAGAAGAAAGGTCAGTGTGCAACAATATAAGCGTGAAGGGGTGTTGCCTTTCTGTTACAGGATTATATATGTTAGAAGTAGCTAATGTTGGGCTATAAAGGAACTACAGCACGGTCACATGACTTCACGTCACCACCGCTAAGCTAAAGGTGGCTAATGTTGGGCTATAAAGGAACTACAGCACGGTCACATGACTTCACGTCACCACCGCTAAGCTAAAGGTGGCTAATGTTGGGCTATAAAGGAACTACAGCACGGTCACATGACTTCACGTTGATATTAAGGAGTTTACTTTGAAAAACATTTCTTTTTCTTTTTCAGTTTACGTCCCCGGCGGTCGCTATGACTACCTGACTCTGTCTGGACGAGGCCATGTGGAGCGTCTGAGCCGTGATTGGACGAACAAAAACACGCTGTCTCACATCGAGGTGACACTTCCTGTTCCTCAGTGTTGTTTACATCAGTCCAACCAATCAGATCCTCACTTTTCCCTGCTTCCTGTCCTCAGAGAGAGAGTCTGGTGGGCGACGGAGGGCGGGTCATCAACAGCGTGCTGGAGGGAGACGTTACCGTGGCGACGGGAGCGGTGGTGCAACACTGCCACCTGCAGGTCAGCTTTTAGATCAGAAAGTTAAAACTCTGAGAACAAGGCAAATATTTAAAAAAGTGAAATTTGGGCAAAATCTGGAAAAAAATCTAAATGTGAAAAACAAAATCAGTATTCAATATTAATAAATGA